TGCTGCCACGATGTAAGCATGCGGCATAATCTCTTTACCAGCCCAGCGACTGTTGTGGAGGGTCCTGTCTCAGAAATTGTGCACCCACAACTCTGTAAATAATGAAACAGGGTGGCGTTCGACTCGCCACAATGCATGCAACACCTGTCTGCATAGTCAATTGTTTGTATGATCTGCCATGCGCAGTGGTAACCTAGTCTGATTCTGCGAAGAATGACTTCGGCACCTCTATTGATTGTTTCAGAGAGTGCCAGTGGGTCATAACCTGTGGCGTTTGTGTACCATCTGGCTGAGGGGGAGGTTCTCGCTTCCTCTCTGTGAAGCTACAGGAGAATGGCAAGTGCTGTGGCGTTGCACCTGTGCCTTATGATTTTTCGGCTTGGTTGTATGATCATGGGATTTGGGGGTATACCCTTGCCAATGTCAGCTAGTCTGTCAGCAAGCTATCTCTGATGCTTATGTGGCTGGGGATCAGGTTTATGATTCTTCTTCTACTCTGGGCAAGAATCCTTTCCGCTATGCTAAGCACAGTGGTCAGGAGGTAGATGTTGTCTTTGGTTATGCTGTGCTGTAGACAATCAGCGGCTCCCCTGGAATGTGTATTTATGACCACGTGTCCTTCCCTCAGGGACTCGTAGGCCAGGGCTCCCACGATCGCAATTGCCTCTACCTAGAGCGAGGAGGCGTTGTCTGTTACCCTCATGGATTTTGTGGCATCCCTTGCTGCAAAGCCGTTGCAGTGTGGGTTAAAGGGTCGACTGATCCATCCGCGAAGTAGGTTCTACTACCCGGAGGAGTGATGGCTGCAATGACCCTCTCGGCTTTTGTCTGTAGGGTAGGCATAGGGTATTGATTCTTTCTCTTCGACAAGCTCATGACAGAGAACGTTTGTGCCCACGGCGGGGGTTTGATAAAGTCGGGGTGGTGGAAGTCCGCTCTCATCAGCGAGGTACAGTTGTTTATATATGCCCCATGAATAGGGGCAGAGTCTTAAGAGTCTTAAGAAATGAGACATTTGAAGGCCTAAATATGCCCAAGGCTAAAGCATAAATGATATAATGAAAATAATAATGATGTTGTTGCTTGTGCATGACATTGATATGTGTTAATTAAAATCGTAACCATACGAAAGATAAACCAAGCCTCAATCTATGGCCTTATTAATACGAAGGTATTTTGATGTTAAAGCTTATACTTTACATTATTATCTATGATAGTAGTGAAAAATTTCTGGATAAACATATAATATATATATATATATATATATATATATATATATATATATATATATATATATATATATATATATATATATTTATATATGTTTATATATGTATGTATATATATGCACACAAAGATGCAAATACATTTAGTCTAGCACTAGATGCAATAATGTCCTCATTAACATCCTCATCGTTACTGAATAACACATCATACAGTGCAGTATCAAACTTGAACTTCACATTTTCTTCCAATTTCAAACCAGGCAGAGACGCTCCGCACGCTTATCAGCGAGGTAGGGCGGAGTCCGGAGGAATTAAGCACTTTTACAATTTAAAAAATTTCACATTCCATCAAAAATTTAATTTAAAAAATTCACATGCTATTGAAAAACGTAAACCAAAGAGGTTTACGTAAAATGAACTGTATTTATATTCCGTGAATTTAAAAAAGAAAATTCAGAATTATTATAGCCTGCACTTAAAACAAAAGCACATTAAATTTATAAAGTATAAAGTATAAAGTAATCATCCCCTCCTTTTGAAAAATAGTTCGTAAGAAAATGTTGAAAATGAAACCTAAAACCTTTTGAAAATAAAGTTTCTGTATTCAATTCTTATGACAATAAAGTTGGCTCTTTAATGCATCCCGATCATTAATATCACCAAATACATCCATTTTGTGTGCATCCATGATTTTAAACAAAAATCCTAGTTTTGCTGCTTTTTCTACCATCAGCCGGTTTCTTAGTTTTGAATGTATTATACCATTGCTTGATAAAACTCTTTCAACCCCTGATGATGCCACTGCAGACAGTAATTGTGCTGCTGAAATTACATCCCTATCCAACAAATGTCAATGTGACCTTCAGCATTCAACAATTGGCATACACTTGGTCACAGAATCAATAAACTTAATTGCTTTGAAAGGGAACCGATTTAGCTTGAAATTTCATGATGACTGGGACAAGTGAGGGATTTTCTTCCTTGACATAAGTTCATTGCATTATTCACTTCTGCACTAAGCAGTTTTCCTTGAAAAGAAGGGTGAATCAGGTTTACAAGATGAGCTTGTGTTATGACTTGGCCAAACCTCTTCTTTGTAGCAGTAACTAAATCTCTGTTATTGCACGAAGTTGTGATTATGTCTTTCCATATGTTCACTGCTTCAGCGGTTCCACATTTATTACTGTACTTTGTCGAAAGCCACAGATATTGGTTCTAGTTGTGCAAGTAGGTGCTCTTGCTGACCACTTCAGTGTTAAGTTAGACACCTCTCTAACTCTGACGTCAATATGCTGTCTAACAACTTCACAAAATTTCATGATAGCTAACCAGTTCTTTATGTAGATCTTCAGTAAGTTACACATGGTATTTCCTCTTGTGTCTCGAGGTATAACACCTTCCTAGTGGTATCTTGCAGAAGCACAGAGATTGTTTTTAAAGTATTTTACTATATACACACCATGCTCTTTAATAGTGCCAATATCCAGATCATGAGCCAGAAGACTCAGAATGTGTGCAGTACAGCCATAGGTCACTAGCTTCAGTTCATTTCCCTGTTCTGACCGTTTCCTCACTTCATTTACCAGCGTTATCTGTCACAACGCTACCAACATGGCAACCAAGTTCTTTTCACTTCTGAATTACTGTGGTACACTTCTTTTTCATATATCATGAGTAGGAATTTGTCTGCAATTGCTTTTCTTATTAGAGGAGTGTATCCTGGTCTCAACTTCCCATCCATTTTACAAAACTGAGGATGTTCTACCAATCTAAACGATTGCAGATGGTTGCAGAGATCATCTTAGCGACTAACTCATTAAAGTTTTTTTTTTATAAGAAGTCGCCTTTGTAACAATATGTTCAAATTTGTAGCTTTACGCTCTGAGAAACTTATGTTACAAGTTGGACATTCTTTAACGCTGGAATTGCAATACTCTTTGAGGCACCTTTGAAGTCAGATTTTCATTCTTGCCTGGATCATCCAAACCCTCTTCTGATAATTCAGTTTGCAGCTGCCGAGATTTTTTTCTGAGATTTCATTCTTGCGATTATACCTTGTAACTCAAGTTCACATTGTCTGTATATAGCTCTCCATTATTTACCAGACTGAAGGAATTCTGTTAAAATGTTCCCACACTGGATCACTCTTCCTACTAGATACATTAAGCCTTGTTGTCAGTGACATCTCTCCACTCTTGCAGTTAGCTCAGGAATGAGTGGCTGTAACACCCAAACTACTACACAGTGTCACAAAACCGACCATATCATAACATGATATATACAGGAGCAGGAGTCAGGACAGAGAGATGATGCAATCCTGGCCAATGGCTACTGTGCTGCTTAACAGGTTCAAACACTTTGTAACCAACTGGCAGATGATACAGCATGCTGTAAAAGCACTCCAAAATGTGTTTTAAACTAATGAATACAATATATAATAGCTTTCCAAATATTTCTATGCTGATAAATAAAAAAAGAAAATGATTTAAATAACAAAAATCCTATTTAAATGAAATAATTCGGATTTTTTAAACATTATATATATATATATATATATATATATATATATATATATATATATATATATATATATATATACAGTATATACACATACATACTGTATCTGTCAATCGCTCTATATATTCTCTCTCTCTCTCTCTCTCTCTCTCTCTCTCTCTCTCTCTATATATATATATATATATATATATATATATATATATAAATATATAATATATAAATATATATATATATATATATATATATATATATATATATATATATATATATATCACACACACACACACACACACACACACACACATATATATATATATGAGGCGTGAGAATAGGAGAGGCAAACTCGCGAAAATCAAGCTTTGAGATAAGTGGTTTTACAGTTTGCCTTTCGCCCTCCATATTCATAACCTTAATTGTTGCCATAGGCGCACTGACCACATGATTTCTTGCCAGAAGATTCCGGGGTGCAAGACTCGCATTTTTGTTTAGATGGTAAATTTGCCTCTTCCATTTTCAAGGCCTCATATAAAAACAGTCATGAGTCTTTTTATTCCACATATCCGGTATACTGTACATACAGACTGAGCTTGCATGTACAATTCATACTACATTGTACATGCAAGCTTAGTGGAATATGCACGTACAAGCAGAATCAAATTGTAATTGCATTATTTTCCTTTAAATCTAAGATGGAGTGACTGATAAAGGTCACACATATGACAATGAAAAATTAAACAGAACAATAATTTTACTGGGATCTTACTATAGATCATAAGTGGACACGCAAAACGGGCACATATATGAACAAAGAATAACCATTGTTATTTTTGATTGTATTGCGCTCCATCAGGTTTACCGAAGTCGAAGCCATGAGGCCTGTGACGCTATCCCCTGCCGTCATCACCCGGGTTCATCATTCATTCATACTAGGTGTATCGTGATTTCTCAATCATATACATAAATTTGTGAGTAACGGTCAATCAATATACCAAACTGTTGTTATCAAATATTGTGATTGAAGTGAAATTAAAGTGAAATTCTACGAATTCATCAGTGCTAATAATTCGCTGGAGAACCGCGCTGGGTACGTTATAAGGGAACGTCCGAATTCCTGATCGTTTTAGTTGACAGTGTTACAAAGACTGATTACTTACCCTCCTTATGAACTGAGATATGGGCGATGGTGTTTCATTATTGGATGAGAGTGGCATATAAGATTATAAGATATATATATATTAGATTTTAGTGGTATTATGATACCGCTTGGAGATACGGTCAAAGGATCCAAACGCGGCCCAGCGAAAGACGCCATGTTAGCTGTGCGCAACGAACGAGACCAAATGGCCTTCTCGTA